GGCATCCATCAACAGCAATGGAGCATTCCAGTAAAATCCATATTGCATTGACTTTGAAGGTAGGCGAGGCATGCAGTATCATAGCCACCATCCATAGAGACAGTAGTGTCAAGGTCCCCATCATGTGGAATCATGGCGGGTGGTACTTGGTCCCCGGTATTGGTAGCAGTAGTAGCATCAATACGCCAGAGTGGAAGTGCGGATCTGGGCCTGGCTTCATTGACAGCATCTTCATTGGATTCAAATACATGATTGGACTGTGGATCCCACACTGGTGAATCTGCAGTTGCAATTATGTAATCACAGTGTTCAAGCTATTTGGACGTAGGGCATTGAGAAGGGAAACACAAAATAACTCCAACCATTTTGAACGGGATGAACAAAAGATTCTTGTCATCAGTAGAAATGAAAGAAACACCATGTGATGATTCACTGTTGAATTGTTGGGGTGTATCATCCACTTGATTAAAATTGCAACATCATATTTGGTTGGGGCAAATCAAACTATGTTGTAGTTTGTCACCAAAATACAGTGCCTGATGGAACACCAGAATATGAGTCTTCCCATCAGGACTGTCCCACGATGCAGTAGCAAATGTAGCAACTGGTACATTCTTAATAGAATCATATTCAGAGGAGAATGGGTCCACGTTAACATGGGTTTGAACTTCTTCTGGAGGTGTCAGCATAACCATATTCAAACCACATACAGTCGTGTCTCCTGCTTGTGAATCAAGTTCACATAAGGATTCACCTGATGTGGAAGAAATAGCAGAGACATTGAAACAATATTGCCGGGCTTTCAAATGCTTAATCGACCGGCTGATATTTCAGAAATGTGCTGCAGAACGGGATTGATTGCCGATGCCGGTTCCTTTGGGTTCTTCTTTACCATTGTCAGCAGATTTGGTAGCAGAAACATTTCTGTTCTGTTTCTGCTGTTGCCACAATGCCCTGTGCCTCTGTTTCTGTTCAGGAGTGAAGGTTTTGTATATGTGCTTGGGGTAGTGCTTGGGCTCAATAACACCATCATATGCTTTTTCACTTGAGCCTTCACCAGAATTACCACCAGAACTGGAATTTTGACCGGAATTACCACCATTCGGTCCATTCCCACGGCTGCAACCACCATTGTCACTCTTATGGCGCTTACCATTGCCATTATGGTTAGTGGTAGTGGAACTGATGTTCCGACGCTTCATACTCTGACCACACATGGAGGAAGTCAAATGCTCCGTGATCTTGATGAAATTATTGTGGTCAGAATGATTGTGCATTGGGGCTTTGAATTCTGTTTGCAGTTTCAACAAGCCTTGGATCTTGTATAGTAGCACAGAAATCATAGCAGAATGCTTCTTCATCTATGGTCCCACCATAATACTGAATGGTATCACGTGCTTTGTACCATTTCCTCTTATGAGTTTCAAAGGTATAAGTTTGTATATCACTCACTAAAAGTTCTCATCTTCTTAAGCATCTGTTGTCCATGGGTCTTGACATTGCCCATCGTTCTTAGGTGAAAATATGCTCCCCTGCCATCAGACTTAGTATCTTTGTGGAAACGCTTGATCTCAGTATCAGCTGCATCTCCCTTTCTCACTTGAAGCAAACTCTGAATGGTGTGATACACAGTGTTATTATCCACCACAAAGTCATTACCCTTGTGAGTGGTACAGGCAATGAGGTAATCATCCCAAGATTCAAATGTCCCACCATTGATATGAGCATCAGAAACATTGGAGTCATTCCTCAATACATATAGCAATGGAGCTCCAGTATTACCTCAAATAGCACCAAAATAAGCGCGTAGGGCGCAGTCAAACTTGGGGAAGTCTTCTTGGATGGAAGTGAGTTTCACAGGAGGTGTTGAAGGTAGTATAGAAACTACATAGGTCTTCTGGGCTACAGCCTCAAATGGCCTTCATTGAGGATCAGCCTTGAGCAAAGAGAGCATTCACAGTTCTCCAAGAGATCTCCAAGCTGAGTACCTGGTGAAAATTACCTTCACCTGCTGTGAGCCGTCGAGCATTTCTGTAACCTTTAATTCCTTCCAAGTAATCAATATCTTCGTGATAGTACTCATCATCGGGGTCCTCATGATTAGGTGGAAAAGAATTATCATCAGAATCTGAAGGATCATCATCACCACTATCATCACCACCATCCCAAGCCTTAATGGGGCCCTTCTCCAATCAAGCAATTCTTCCGTCAAGCTTTTCCATGATTGCCATAAGCCTTTCATTAACATCAAATGTATTTCTTCCGGCAGTATTTCCATCATTACCTCCAGTATTTCTGGCAGTCTTTTCAAAAGTATTTCTGGGAGGACCTCCATCAGCATTACTGCCAGTATCACGGCCGGTGTCTCCAACATCACCATCTTCCGTGTTAGGGGAAGCTTTCTTTAAACCTTGAACACAGGATCCATGAGAAGATTGTGATCGTGTTGATGGTCCTGATCGAGACATGGTAACTTGATAACTTGAAAGCTTGTAATTGAATTTCAAACAGCTTAAGTTTGATTTTGTGAGCAAGTTAAGCTCGGTTCCCCGGAAAACTTGAATTCTTGTAAATCACTGTCATAATGAAGTAAGGGAATAAGGAAACGTCCAAATAGCCTGTAAACAGTCAAAGCTTGAATCAATAAATTTCAGCTGGATTAATGGTTATCGATGCTGAATAAAAAAATCTTAAAATTATATTTAACCTCGTAAACTAGAAGAGGCACTATATATGGCCAGAACCATAGCTTTCGTTACAAAGAATGCTTCTAGCTGCTCGGATGGGCGGCACCTCCCTCCAAGGAGGTTTTGTGGAGATGTGACCAGGTTCTATGCACACTGATAGGCCAACAAAGGCCCAGGCTGAACTCAGAGGACATAAAAGCAGTTGGTTAACAGTATGGATGAAAACCATGCCATTTTCATTTCACAGGGCACTACCAACAAGCCCATAGGTTGGGGGGCCTCAATCCCCAACCTGTAGGCAAGCCCTATACGCAGTGACAAGGAAATGTGTGCCAAGCACACTGGCAAGCCAATTAAGGCAGGTCACATCCCAGTGGGCGAAGACACATGTAGTCAAAAGAAAAGCCAAAAAGAAAAAGAAAAAAGGAAACGTCACACTTCTTTCACCAAATTACAGCTGGTCCCGCCTAAAGGAGCAGCTGTTTGAATATGTTCTTGAAGAAGAAACTGGTAATAAATCCACTAACTCTGTCACCCCTGGTCAGGAGGTCAAATACTGGGGGTGTTGCTGTTTCTGTCCACCACATGCACCACATAAGACAGGAACAACAACAATTGTGACTGGAAGCACTGGGGCTTCTGGTCCTTGAGAACTGGGGATGGATCCAGCTGAGGCAAAGCACTCAGCTGGAGTAACTGGGGTTGGTGTTGTTGCGTTCCGGCACAAATGTCGGAACCAACAACAACCTGACTGGAAAACGCTTCTGGTCCATAAAATACTGGAAAAGGAACTGCATGGAGATGCTGGGGAATCTTCTCTAAAAACTGAGTATGATATAGCGTATACTCCAGGCGTTTTTCTTCACTAGGTCTTGGTTGAATACTGGTGCTGGGGTTGGTGTTGTTGCTCTCTGGCACAGATGCCAGAAACAACAACAATTGTGACCAGAAAGTACTGAGCTGCCAGTCTTTGAGAACTGGGAATGGATCCAACTGAGGCAACTGGTGCACTCAACTGGAGAAATAGGACCGGGGTTGATACTGATAGAGTATCAGCTGGGGTGGGGTTGTTGTTATTGCGTTCTGGCAAGAATAGGCTTGGTTATATTGGTTGCCTCTTGAATGGAGCCAGGGAGGTGGGTTTTCTCCTTCCAAAGGGGACGTCACCATGGTGGGTTTGGATGCCAAAAGGTGCTGGTCAAGTAGGAACTACGTAAGAATCAGTAGGGATTCTAGGTGATAATTCTCAGAACCAAAGTGTAATTTCTTGCGTTTGAAAACATTTGATATGAAAATTTTAACATTTGTCTAAAACAGATTGGTGAGTTTTGACCAAACTGCTGCCAGTACTCCAGGTGAAACCAGACAACCTCTCCAATTTGATATCCCAATGGCATAGCTCCCTTTTGGCAACTAAGGGCACTACATTGTGGTCTCTCATGATCTTCATTAACTTAATATTGACCCTCTTTTAGGGTGGTAACAATCAGTGATCAAAGGGTGTTTTGATAACATCAACAAGAAAAGAGTCGGAGCTCTCCTCCTGATGAACAGGTTTGTAGAAAACATCATCGTTGAGATCAGAATTGAAGGATTCCATTGCAGACTCTATTAACACATGATCAACTTCTTGAACTGAAGGATTGTACATAACTTGGTCATCAAGATTCTGCTGCATGCCACTAGTAGATGGACCGTCTTGGGTATTAGTTAAAGAAAACTGCTGGGTAACGCCAACCTTATCCCTCAAAGTTTTGAACAAAGACAAAGTAAAGTCATGGGTCCCATCACGGACATAAATATAATATTGGAAGCAATCTTTGCTGAGTAGTTTTGTTGACATGATGAAGCCTGAATTTTTGTCTTGTTTGGCACTGTAAAATATGGGACCCTGGTTTTTCCTATCTCTTGAGCCGTGACAGTTTTGGCACAATACCTTTAGCTTAGGGGGGGCATGATGAAGGGCAGAGTTGAAACAACAAAGTAAGGTTCAACCGAGGGATGAGTTTTTTTGTGCTTTCAGTTCTGACCTATGATAATTTGAAGTAAATGAATGCTTGTTCTGGAAACTTGTTCTGGCCAATATTATAGCACTGGTTTTGTCAATAATATATTCTTCTTAAAATTTAGTACCAGTAGTAGAACAAAGAAAGCAAAAACTGGCCAAAAACCAGCTGCAAAACAGCAATTATTGCCACAACAAATGTCCCTTTTGAACCACGTGCAAGATTTGCTCCTTATTATTGCCAGTTCCTCTACGAGTAGATCCTGCAAGCAACAACGTCCAAATCTGAAGTAGAATCAGCAGTAACCTGTTTGGTTGATTCATTATTATTGGTATTCTATGTCTATGATTATTGTGTAGAAAGCCTGGGATCTGTTTTGTTCCTCGAGGAAAATATAAATCTGCATGCGAAAATTCCAGACGGCGTTATATCGTTAAACGATAGGCCGAAGGCAAAGCGATTTGATGTGATGCGCTTGAGGTGGATTTCTTCCTCGCAAAGCATCGAAATTGTGAATGGAAAAATGTTCGACGGCATGGTGGTGAATTGGAAGCCAACCTCAAACCGATGAGTTGCGGCTGATGAAGAATATTGATAGTAGCGGATGTAGCAGATGCAACGGCTTTCATTGCATTTGCAAGAATCAGGAGGCAAATCATTCCAAGAAGAACCCCCACGTTTCCAGTTCTGCGTTCTCCGTAGAGGATCTGCCATTCGCTCCACCCTTCTGGAGCGTTAGTGTCGAGCATTTTTTCTGGATTTTGGTAGAGATTTTGCGGTTTGCTATATCCCCACTATTCTCGTCCGACAATGAACACAGATCGACCTTGTAGGACTTCCGTGAAGCATTGGACCCCCATCCACGCAACGATCCGTAGCTTCCGCATCCACTCCTTGCCGACATGCTTCCTATACTGCCATTTGACCGCTGCGTTCTGAGGAATCGACGTCCTTGCCGATCCTCTTCGGCAATGGCAACAAGCATCATTGAAGATACCAAAAGTTTTTCATCGTAATGCGGCTTGTTCCCAAGCTTGACGTCGATTGTGTCGTCCAATGCGGCAATCGACGATGATCTCTTCATCATGCATTTAGCTTTTTGACAAGATTGGAGTTCTATGGCACTGATGCCCAACTATATGGTCTCAAGTGATTCGTAATACTGATGTTTTGCGTAACGGTAGAATTGGTCGTTCTTTCTTCAAGATAATGCAATGCATTGCTCTCGTGGGTCGTGACATGATAACACAGACGTCAACTGAAATACCTCCTAACTCACAAGCCAGGATTAGAAGTTGAAGAGGATCCCCAGATCCCACATCACAGAAGAAGGAGGAGCGATGTCCCTGTACCTGGCACTGAGAAATTGCAAGGTGATCCGTTAGGCGTGGCGAAAATTGATTTTGAGTCACTGATTGTCATTGTGGACGGCCCTTTTTGATTTGATTCGTCCTTCGATGCTATGTCCAATCACAGACGTGGTGCAAATATTAAAGCCCCGATGTTGAGGACTTCCACTGCGAAAATCGTAGAAGTATGGTACTTCTATTAGGCAAGAGGACTCCTAATGTCAAGCGCACTACTACGAGTTTCATAACAATTGCACACCGTCTTGCCCAGCACGCAAGTGCTCTCCTGTAAAGACTTAAAGCGTTAAAACAAAGTTATAAACTTTGAATCAAAGTTGTCAACTTTCAGCGCAAGTTGCCAACTCTGCTAGGTAGGCCTACGTAGAATAAGTACTAGCCCCGTAACGTGTCACGCTGGCTGGCCAACAGCTGCTCAGCGGGGGGAAGCAAGAAGCAAGATTAGCTGTTTTGGATGGATCCTAGTACAAAGCTGTGTAGAAAATCCTGTAGA